TAGTTTCCTAATACTGAACGGCATGGCAATGGCATGCATCATTCTTTTTTTGGGGGGGAAAGCCAGATTGGTAAGAACTACTTGGATTTATGACTGCATTTGCCTGATGTTTCCCTTTTGAGGTCCATCAAACATTTCTCATGGGAGAAATCAGTTCTTGATTTATGATAACATTTCTTCTAGAGGTAGCTTCCTGCTCCCACCCACTCCCCAATGGATTAATACTATACTTTTCGATACCTGTCAGATGCTAACAAGAGGTAGATGACTTTCGCCAAAAGTGAGGTAGAAACTCAACAGAAGCAATCAGTGTGGTGTGGAGCGCTGTGTGTCCTGTGCCCCCGGCCCACAGGAAGCCAGAGAACGCCACAGAGCCCGGGCGACCCCGGCTCTATGGTATCATCACCTGTGAGTACAAGAGTTTGACTTTTATACAGCCCCAGACTGTTGGAAACTCATTAAGAGTGATGTTTTAAATATACCTTAAATATACCCTATATTTTTTGGCACCACTGGATTTAAAAAAACAAAAACAAAAAAAAACAAGCCTAAAACTTTGGCATATCTTTCACTATCTACCAGAACACAGCAATCTTAGAATCTTCCAGAGAGGAAGACAACACATGTACAAACACTATCCTGCTGCTTCAAGCCTAAAAGACTTTCCTCCTCAAATAATTAAGCTTTGGCTTAACTAGGGTAAATCAGACGGAGCCAGTCTCAAGTTGTTTCTGTTACAACTCCAACACAAAGTGCCTTGTTTCTGGCAACTCTTTTGGCCCAACACATAATTGAGATTCTGTTTGTGGTACCCTTGTCATGTGTTTCCCCAAGTAAGTCAGACTTAAGAGGGCGTTGAGGAGTCAGTGCACTTGGGGTACAGCGCAGGCTACTGGGCTCTAGCCAACTGAAGTGCCAGCTGCCAGCCACGACAGAGCACAGGCTGAGATGGGACTGATTCTCATGACCAAAAATAACACTTTTGAAATGTTAAGTCAGTGTCAACCAAAAGTGGTTTTTTTAACCTATGGGTTATTTAGATTTCCTGTAAGCATCTCAATACCCAAACCTATATATTCAAATCCAATGGCCATCTCCAAACATAAACTGACCTTACACCCCACCACACACTATCCTTGCCACCTGACCAGATCAGACCCACACAGGGACTATTGTCTAACTATCAACATTTACTCCTAGAAACATTTTATTCTCCTCCCTCACAATACCCAGGACCTTTCTCATCATGTTGAAGACTCCCCTCTTTGACCCAATTTCTAGCTACCACAGTATCGCCTCTCAGTGGGCAGGAGATGTGCATTTAAATACATGTCCTTCTAAGGGCCTCACACTAGAGAGCACCAAATGTTGGCTTTTATCATCTTTCTTTGATTTGGAACACTCCACATCATACAGTAACACTCTCCAAAGTGCTTCGCACCAATCCCTACGGGTCAGGAGTCAATCGTGGGCAGCCACAAATGGCCAATGTTTTAAAAACAAAAGCTTCCCAAGTGTGACCGTGTTTCTCAAAGGCCAGTCATGCACCCTTCTGGGTGCAGAAGGCAATGAGATGCCCCACCATTGAGCACACTGAGGCAGTATCTCCCACTTACACTCTCATTTCTGGGGATGACTTGATTTGCTCTAAGCCTGTAAATGTCTCTATTAATTAAGACCTAATAATTTCAGCCATGGAGTGGAAGCCCTGGCTTTACAATCAAACCATGGTAAAATGTTAAATAAGTAGCTTTATAGTTACTGCTACTCACCAAAAAAAACTTCTCAAAATATTACTACACATGAGCAAATTGGGGACGAAAGAGGAGAGTGAAAACAATTACGAAAATGGAGAAATTTTTTTTTAAAAGGCAGTGACTAACTGAAATAACTTATCCCAGACACAATCATGACCTATGTTTTGGAGAATATTTTTATCAAGATCTATTTCCTCGATAAAAATTTTTTCAAGCATTTAAAACCAGTTGTCTTTGGTATTTAAAGGGTGATTTGTTGGGCAGGTGGGGAGAGGGAAGGAAGATCAGCACTAAGTTCCTCCAAAGTAAAAAACAGTAAAAATGTTTAATTATATTAACTCTTTACCAGTCAAAGACCTTAACAGCAAAAAGGCAATTGAATAGGCATTGGGGAAGGATTCACTATTAGATTCTTCAGTAAAAGAAAAGGAGCTTCTATCAAATAAGATTTCTTAATGCCTTCCCACCCTGTAATGCAGCAGGTGAGAGACAGCAGTTTGAAGCTACTTCTCAACTTTTGGATCTTTTACAGCATGCAGTTCTCCTTTGTGAGACGAAAAAATTTTCCCCCATTTTGGTCACACAGAAACCCTGGAATTAAAGCAATAGGAAGAGACAGGGTAGCTTGATGTAGTAAATGAAATGTCCACAAGAGGTAGATGGGAAAAGCAATTTGATTGACTTGTCACATTGTCCTCATCATCTCCTTTTCTATTGGGATGACAAAAGCAAATTGCTCTATTTGTCAATTTATTCTGTTCATTTAAAACTACAACCATTTTGCAACGGAACTTAGTCTTAAATACAGGAGCAGAAATCGATCCATTAGTCTTTCTGATTAAACAAGAGGTCTCCCCTGTAAACCATCAACGGTTGAGAGCACCTCTTTTCCCTGAGGAGCCTTACTCTGGAATTTGGTTCTTATTTAAGTATCTGGGGAAATGCAGGAACCGATGTGGGTTCTGACAAACAGGGCACCAGCTACACCTGCTTCCACATGGAAGACAGACAATGCCCAGAAGCACAAAGTTTTGTACCCAAGTCCGGCTTACAACTAATCAATCCTGTAAAGTGACATAGATTCCATCCCACGGTTCTGCAGTGGGAGCCTCGCTTACATTTTCATTCTTTGGTACCGAGTTACAGGTTTAAGAAGGTATCACATCCTACATTTCAGGCTGGGGCAATTTGGTTCACAGATCTGTTACATTCAAAGGCCGTGGGTGGGAAAGTCCACGTTAACCAGGAGGTACTGCATCGTGGCTCGGGTGCAAACACTTCTGTAAAAGTGACCCGAGCAGAGGGTGTGGGAATGGGCTGTTCCTCTTAATTTGACCTTCAAACGCTCTATTTCCCTGAACTTCCAAAGCAGGAAAAAATTGTGCTTGTAAAATAAAAGTTCATTCCTTTATCTACTCTTCTTAGGAAGGGAAACTCCTAGCTCTACAGAACAACATTCGGTCCTGGGTCAGGGACTGACCCGGCCCCTTCTGCAGAGTCCCTAGTTAGGGGGCGTCTTGCTTCTTCCGTGTGCTCTTTACTCACCCACCCACACTCACGTCCACATGTCAGCCCATGTCTGAAAACCCCTCTCTGAGAATGAGGTTCATTTTCTTCCTTCCATTTAACTCTATAACCAACAGCAAAGTAAGAATACTTAATGTTTGAGAATACTTTTCCATCAAAAATCCTGAGCTAGCTACATCTATTTTTTAGAAACCAAGCCGTGAAAATAAAAAGGTTCCTTGGGAGGCGGTAAGTCATTTTTAGCTTTACTACTTGGGTGCAAGATGGCTTTAAAACAAACACATACACACACACCCACTCCCTTCAAAGAAACAAAGATTATATGCCCTAAAATATGAATGGTCTGCTTTTCTTGGCTAGCAAGCCACAGCCACAACTTCTAGGATTAAGAAAAGATGCTGAAGAGGATGTTAAACACACTGAGGTATAAAAGAACAGAGGAAAGTCCTCTGCTGCAGCATTTAAAAAAAAAAAGTTTTCCCAAAAAGATCAAAACAATACAACACAATCTAACCTCACATAAACACAGTATTCTCAAGAACACAGATACTCTATAATTATGAATTTTAAACCTATTTTTTCCATGTTTTATAGTTTTTTGGTTTTTTACTTAGTAGTTTTGTGTTTCCTTGGCTCAATCTACAGAATACGCCCCACCACATGCATCCAGTGCTCTCCCAGCCGTAAAGATGCGAGGCTTGTGCATATCGTGCCCACGCGGGGAAGAGGGAGATGTGAACTCCACCGAGGAGGAGGAGGAGGAGGAGGAGGAGGAGGAGAGGGCCTGTTGGAGAAGGAAATGTAAAAGATTTATGAGGTAGATAGAAATCATCACTTCACAGGCTCAATCCCTGCAGAAAAGATAAGTACATTCATCTGTAAAAAAATAAAGATGAGGTAGGACTTAAGCAATGTTGTACGTTTCTTGTTCTCTTAA